AATTTAAAAATAGAACCACCTCTGATATCCAAAAGAAAAAAAAAAACTTGAAAGCAGGGTCTCGACGAGATATCTGCACATCCACATCCATTTTAGTACTACTCACAACAGCCAAGAGGTGGGAGCAGCATAGTTGTCTACAGAGACACAGATAGACAACATGGACTGTTCGTGCAATGGACTGTTATTCAGCCTTCAGAAGGAAGAAATGCTGATGCATGCTACAACATGGATGAACCTTGAGGACATTATGCTCAGTGAAGTAAGCATATGACAAATATGTATGGTGCTACTTTCATGAGGTGACTCGAGTAGTCAAATTCATAGAGACAGAAAGTAGAATGGTGGTTACCAGGAACTAGGGGGAGGAGAGATGTTTAACGGTGCTGAGTTTCAGTTCTACCAGATTAAAAAGTTCTGTTTCGCAACAGTATGACTAAACCTAACACTTCTAACCCATTCAATTCAAAATGAGTAAGATAGTAAATTTTATGTTGTGTTTTATCACTATTAAAAAAGAGCAAAAAATTAAAAAATTAAAAGTGAGCCCACTGGGGGAAAACACACACAGCACCAGAGCCAACTTTTCCCCCCCTGCTCAGCTGTGTGCTGCGGAATCACATCTCCCACTAATCCCATCAGAGGCCCCACGCCCACAGCACCTCACTGACCTGGAACCAGGGACAGAAGGAGCAAGGACCACATCTCCATCCCCAGGGTTTAGCCCAGTACTTCACACCCAGCAGGTGTTAGATAAATATTTACTGAATACATTGTACGGCATCCACATGGCAAGTCAGTCTGGTACAACTGTCCCCATTTTACAGCCAGATCAATGGAGGCTCTACAAGGCAAGATGACCTGCCCAAATCACAAAGCCAGCAAGTGGTAAAGGAAGAAACAGATGCAATACCCTGGCCTCTTGTTACAGAACACCTTCCACAGTTCCACCTCCCTTAAAAGTCTAACTGAAACCCGTTTCTAGAAGGAATTATGAATAACAATTTTCAGTCTATATTAGTAATTCTTAACTTTTTGTATCATGGACCCATCTGATAATCCAAATAAAATTTGGACCAAAGTCCATCAGTTGAGAAACCCCTCTCCACACTGCTCTCTGGGTGAGTTCATTTATTCTTAGGATTTTAGAACCACCTCTATGTTACTACACATCTAAATCAACTGAGGGTGATATTTTAAATTCACATTCCCAGGCCTGCCCATCCCCTGTGACCCAGGAATCTGCATTAGGCATACCAGAGGATTCTGGGATGTGTGGCTCTCACAAACACACAGCGGCTGCCTCCCAGGTCTGACTGCAGCCCTGATGACTCCCTAGACAGGGCCCTCCTTGCAGATGCCCACTGTACCCAACTACTAGAATGTCCTATCACAAGCCAACAAGGACCACTCTGAGCTTACCTCCCTTCCCCACTAAGTGTTCCTTTGCCTAGGTCGCCAGACCAGAGCCTGGGCATCACCCTTGACTATTCCTGTCCCCATCTCACATCCTGACCACCTCCGACCAGGCTGACCCTACCTCCTGAGTGCCTCTGGGCCCTATCTCTCCACCATGCCTGCCAATGTCCTTGTCCAAACTCCCAGGATATGCTCCCTTCTGCTGCTTGATTAGTCCTATATCCTGCAATCCTGATTATATCACTACCTGTGCAAAATTCTTCAGTGGTGATCGAACTCTAGAAGTGTAACATGCAAAGCCAGAGCCACATGTGGCTATTTGATTAAAATTAAATAATGTGAAAATGTCTGTCCCTTAGTTTCAAATTTCAAATGCTCAGTAGCCGCAGGGGCCACCATACTAGATGGCACAGATACAGCACACATCCATCATTGCAGAAAGTTCTAGTGGACTGTGCAGCTCTAGAACTTGGTCCATGAGCCCCTCCCCAGGATCTGCTCCCGGCCTCTATACAGGCCATCCCCCAGCAGCCCTGTCCTTGGGCCATACAAACCACTCTCAGCACCCTAAAGGCATGACCCTTCCCCACCTCGTTATCTCCTACCCAGCCTTCAGGTCCCAGCTCAGCTGTCACTTCCTCCTCTGTCCGGGATAAGGGCCAAAGCTTCTGCCTATTACAGCGTTTAAAACAAGTTGTAGATCTCAGCTGGGCTGCAGTAGTGGCAGTTCCTCTCCGAGCTTTGCAATGCAGCCCAAGGACAGCAAGAAGAAGAAAGATGCCAGAAAGTCGGTCAAGAAAAACAAATCCCAGTGTACAAATCTGGGGCCAAGGCCAAAAGAAGAAGTGATCCAAAGGCAAAGTTCAGGACAAGCTCAACAACCTCGTCTTGTATGACAAACTCCGTAAGGAAGTTCCCAACTATAAGCTTACAACCCCATCTGTGGTGTCTGAGAGTGAAGATTCCAGGTTCCCTGACCAGGGCAGCCCTTCAGGAGCGCCTTAGTAAAGGACTTATCAGACTGGTTTCAAAGCACAGAACTCAGGTAATTTACACCAGAAATACCAAGGTGGAGATGCCCCAGCTGCTGGTGAAGATGCAAGTACAGGGTTCAACCAACCATATAAAACTTTATTGAATAACAACAACAACAAAAAATAACTAAACTAAGTTGTAGCAGCTACTCACATGCCTAATCCCTTCCCCCAAACCAGTGGTTTTCCACCAGGGGTGAGTTTACTGCCCCTTCCTCCACAGAGGACATGTGGCAATGTCTGAGATGTTACTGGTGGGCTGCTACTGACATCTGCTGAGTAGAGCCCAGGAATACCACTAAACACCCTATAATCCACAGGATAGTCACCACAACCAACTAGTATTTGGCCTAAAATGTCGGAAACATTGAGATTAAGCAACCCTGCCCTAGATTGGGCAACTCTGAAAAGGCTGTGTCCTACACACTGCATACCCCAGCCCCCAGCCCAGAGTCAGACATTCTGTATAACTCATCACTCAGTATTCCAGTTCTCCTACAGTATCTTCAAAATGGTGGGATGAATAACAGAATCCTCCGCCCGCCCCAAATATCCAGGTCCTAATCCCCAGAACCTGTCAATGTTAACTTATACAGCAAAGGACTTTGCAGACATGATTTAGTTAAGGATCTTGAGATGCAGAAATTATCCTAGATTATTTGGGTGGGCCCTAAATGTCATCACAACTGTCCTTATAAGAGAGAGGCACAGAGAGGCTTTACACACACACTCACACAAGGTCACATGAGGCTGGAGCAGAGAGAGATGTGGAGATGCTACACTGTTGGCCTTGAAGATGGAGGAAGGGGGCGGCGCCTGTGGCTCAGTGAGTAGGCTGCTGGCCCCATATACCGAGGGTGGCGGGTTCAAAGCTGGCCCCAGCCAAACTGCAACAACAACAAAAAAAATAGTGGGGCA